GGACGCGGACCCGTTGCCCCTCCTGGACACTCAGCTGTGTGGCGTCCTCGCCCTCGAAGCTGTAGAGGGCGTAGTATATCTTGGAGGAGGAGGCGCGGGGAGAGAAGTTTGAATCAGTTTTGAGGGAAAATGCATGAGGCTGAAAGCGTGGAAGGTGACAATGAATACGATGATATTGGAAATGTATAAATGAATATAGTTTATGTTATGACCGCTTTTATATCATTTATACCATTTTCATAAAAAAACGGCAGTCAAACCTGAGTGCAATGCTATAGAAGCAGACTAAATATATTTGATTATAATGATAAAATCTGTTGCTTATGCTATATCATACCCAAATTAGAGAATGAAGACGAACAAAAAAAGATTTAATGTTAATCTAGAACGAAGTGGTAGACACCGCTGATCGATAAGCAGTTTAGTTCCCTCGAAGAAGACATCGGCTACCATCTCTCTATCACCAGCGGTCGTTGCGCCAATGGCAACAGCCGCCTCCGTTCCTTACCTGATGATCGTCGTGCTCAGGAACGTCCTGCCCGGCCTCCGCATAAACGCGACTTTCACTCTGATCACACAACGCCTCGTTGACTTCTTGATACACGCTGCCCTCCGCTATGTCATATATCCTGCTTTCGGCTCTGCCATACAGCGGCGTCTCCCGGATACTGTCGGCTTGCGAGGTATTATCTGAACTCGAAAGCTGACGGCCGCTGTCGTCTGGAAGGTAGCTCATGAATGTCGTCTTCGGAGGGGTGGAATGGCGCTGGCTTAGTCTTCGGGAGCTGGGGGTGGACTGGGGAGATTCTGGATAAGCCGGAAGGCTGTGTCGGGGGGCGCTGACTTGCTGATGAGCGTAGGCTGAGCCTGTGTCGCCCTCTTCGCTCTCTTCGTCCAGTTCGTGTTGGTGTTTCGCTTCTCTCAGGCAGGAGGCTCTCACCAAACCCATTTTGTCTAAAAAAAAGGGATATAGTAACTATTATGCGTGTGTGGGGGGGATGAACAGGATGGTTATCATCTTGAAGGCCTTGTATAAGATCTGGAAGTAACTATATTTATATTTCAAAGTGAATTTAGTTTTACAAAAATAGAAAAAAAACAAGGATATATACATTCAAACCACCACAAATTGAAGGCTGTTGCTGATAATAAAAACCGCTAAAAAAATGCTTTCTACTGTGACCGAATCTGTATGCAATCCCCATGAAAAAAAATGTAGATTGAGCGATGCAGGAGAAAGGTGGAGGGCATTAGAGTTGTCCCATAGAGCAGAGGAAGCCTTGGAGACGCATTTTTGCACTGGGAATTACACGCAAGCTACTAGCTTTCAAATTCATCTGAAAATAGTCTGAAGCAGCATTTTTGCCGCAGAGAAGTATACACATCTTCGCGTATCCAAGATATTAAGGGTTCTCGACCATGGTACTTACGGGTTTATGCTGCAAAGTGAAAGCGCAGAAGGAATTCCGAGAGCCAACAGAGTTGGGCTCACCGGAACTACATGCATCCCTTTGTTATTTATACTCTTTAAGCTCAGAGCAGTTTTTACTGTTTTATCATTTACATCATAATGGTTACCTTACATCATCATAGGACATCTGTGATTTCCTAGCTAATATTATTGGGTAACGCTAATCATACTGGTTGTACATGTGTACAGCTCTATACATTGACTGGTGGTTAATCAAGTTGTTCGAGCCGTTGCCTTGTTACTGGACCGTAGGTTAAGCTCTGTAACTGTGACAAAGTAGCGCCTGAGTAATTTGGCAGAAAATACGATAATTCTAAAATCTATGTTTGTGTATGTGTTGGCAGCTACTCAATTTATGATACATATGAGAAGCTAATATGTATTTGGATGAAAACTAGAAACTAACACTAGCTATCTATGATGATTTTTACTAAAACATTTGAAAAAGATACCATGCATCTTGTACCCAAGACATAGCGTGTGGCATTTGTATATGCGTCTATGTTTATAAAAATAAATAAAAATTAATTTCCTTGTTGGACCTACTATTTGACTTGGTTCAGAAATTCCGATTTCGGTTGTGCCAACGAAAATATAAGTTCTGTGAAATACTAAATATTTGGCTAACAAACTGACTACGTGTCTGTAAACTAACATTTTTTCTCTGAGATCTGGATGTGGGTGCGTTTCTTTTGGATTATTTTATTTGACTACTTGCCTTGTATTTCGACCATGCGCTACTAGAAGCACTAGGCCCAAACTCTTAAAATACTGACAAGCTCAACAACATATATAATTTGCATACACATAGATAAATACATACAGTGTGTGCGTGAGATCCTTTCTGTACACTCGTTCTTTACCTCCGTTGTCGACCACCCAGCGCCGGTCGCCGCCCATCGGATCCCTCCGCCTGACGACGGCCACGAGGTCGCCCGCGTGCAGGGAGAGCTCGTTCTCTCCTTCGGCAGGATGGTCCTCGGTCACCTCGTATACGCTGTCCGCAGGATATTTCCGCAGGACTTCTTTCTGTCGGGGCCAAGGGAGATTCTTCAGGGATATGGGGCGTCCCCCTCTCGCCCTCCCCCATTCTCTCTCCCTCTCCTCTCACTCTCTCTCTCTCTCTCTCTCTCTCTCTCTCTTCTCTCTCTCTCTCTCTCTCTCTCTCTCTCTCTCTCTCTCTCTCTCTCTCTCTCTCTCTCTCTCTCTCTCTCTCTCTCTCTCTCAGTCTCCCTATCTCTCTCTCTCTCTCTCTCTCTCTCTCTCTCTCTCTCTCTCTCTCTCTCTCTCTCTCTCTCTCTCTCTCTCTCTCTCTCTCTCTCTCTCTCTCCCTCTCCCCCTCTCTCTTAGTCTCTCTCTCTCTCTCTCTCTCTCTCTCTCTCTCTCTCTCTCTCTCTCTCTCTCTCTCTCTCTCTCTCTCTCAGTCTCCCTATCTCTCTCATTCTCTCTCTCTCTCTCTCTCTCTCTCTCTCTCTCTCTCTCTCTCTCTCTCTCTCTCTCTCTCTCTCTCTCTCTCTCTCTCTCTCCCTCCCTCCCTCCCTCTCCCCCTCTCTCTTAGCCTCTCTCTCTCTCTCTCTCTCTCTCTCTCTCTCTCCTCTCTCTCTCTCTCTCTCTCTCTCTCTCTCTCTCTCTCTCTCTCTCTCTCTCTCCCTCCCTCCCTCCCTCTCCCTCTCTCTCTCTCTCTCTCTCTCTCTCTCTCTCTCTCTCTCTCTCTCTCTCTCCCCCTCTCTCCCTCTCTCTCTCTCTCTCTCTCTCTCTCTCTCTCTCTCTATCTATCTATCTATCTATCTATCTCTCTCTCTCACTCTCTATCTCTCTCTTTCTCTACCTCTACCTCTCCTCTCAGTCTCTCTCTCCCTCTCAGACTCTCTCTCTCACTCAGTCTCTCTCTCCCTCTCAGTCTCTCTCTCCCTCTCAGTCTCTCTCTCTCTCTCACTCAGTCAGTCCCTCCCTCTCAGTCTCTCTCTCTCTCTCAGTCTCTCTCCCTCTCAGTCTCTCTCTCTCTCACCCAGTCTCTCTCTCTCTCTCTCACCCAGTCTCTCCCTCCCTCTCAGTCTCTCTCTTCCTCTCAGTCTCTCTCTCCCTCTTAGCCTCTCCATCCCTCTCAGTCTCTCTCTCTCTCTCAGTCTCTCTTTCCCTCTTAGTCTCTCTCTCCCTCTCAGTCTCTCTCTCCCTCTCAGTCTCTCTCTCCCTCTCAGTCTCTCTTTCCCTCTTAGTCTCTCTCTCTCTCTCTCTCTCTCTCTCTCTCTCTCTCTCTCTCTCTCTCTCTCTCTCTCTCTCTCTCTCTCTCTCTCTCTCTCCTCTCTCTCTCTCTCTCTCTCTCTCCTCTCTCTCTCTCTCTCTCTCTCTCTCTCTCTCTCTCTCTCTCTCTCTCTCTCTCTCTCTCTCTCTCTCTCTCTCTCTCCCTATCCCCCATTCCCTCTCTCCCTCTCTCCTCTTCTCTCTTAGTCTCTCTCTCTATCTATCTCTCTATCTCTCTCTCTCTATCTCTCTCTACCTCTTTCTCTACCTCTCCCTCTCCTCTCAGTCTCTCTCTTCCTCTCAGTCTCTCTCATCCTCTCAGTCTCTCCCTCCCTCTTAGTCTCTCTCTCCTCAGACTCTCTCTCTCTCACTCAGTCTCTCTCTCCCTCTCAGTCTCTCTTTCCCTCTCAGTCTCTCTCTCCCTCTCAGTCTCTCTCTCTCTCTCTCACTCAGTCTCTCTCTCTCTCAGTCTCTCTCTCTCTCTCTCTCACTCAGCCTCTCTCTCCCTCTCAGTCTCTCCCTCCCTCTCAGTCTCTCTCTTCCTCTCAGTCTCTCTCTCCCTCTTAGCCTCTCCATCCCTCTCAGTCTCTCTCTCTCTCTCTCAGTCTCTCTTTCCCTCTCAGTCTTCTCTCTTTCCCTCTCAGTTTCTCCCTTCCTCTCAGTCCCTCTCTCCCTCTCAGTCTCTCTCTCTCACTCAGTCTCTCTCTCCCTCTCAATCTCTCTTTCACTCTCAGTCTCTCTATCCCTCTCAGTCTCTCTTTCCCTCTCAGTCTCTCTTTCCCTCTCAGTCTCTCTCTCCCTCTCAGTCTCTCTCTCCCTCTCAGTCTCTCTCTCTCAGTCTCTCTCTCCCTCTCAGTCTCTCTTTCCCTCTCAGTCTCTCTCTCCCTCTCAGCCTCTCTTTCCCTCTCTGTCTCTCTTTCCCTCTCAGTCTCTCTTTCCCTCTGTGTCTCTCTCCCTCTCAATCTCTCTCTTCCTCTCAGTCTCGGACAGTACGAGGAGGTTGGCGGGTCCGCCGACCAGCCCTGTGTGTATGGGGGGGGGGCGGATGGCTGGTGATATGACCTGAGCCCACGGGTGCTGGGGCACGTCTAAGAGGCCAAACAAGTTCGCTGAGGGGCTGGTTCTTTACTGGACTTCGAGCCACGTAGCAAACAGCCACGTGGTCTATGTCTAATGGCTTATACAAATCGTGCTTATGAACACGGTATATCGCTCGGCCAATTACTCACGCCTCGCCCTCGAGGCGCCTTAGATTTGTCTCGAGGGTGACCCAACTTGGCTGGTCCTGATTTGCTGGTCATTTCGTTCTCGCGTGCGTTGTCACTGGTGCATCTTCGTGGCTGCTCGTCCTTGCATCATCCTGGTCCTTGGTAAATCCGTCCGTCCTCGACGTCCACGCGTCCTCGAAGGTTTCACACAGATCCTCCTTGACTTCGGATTCGTTCAGACTTCCTCGTAGTCCTCGTCCAGGCCTAACTCGGCGACCCAATGCGCATCCTCGCAGATCTCGTACAGGTCCGTCTCGGCTGCGTGCTCGTCCAGACGTCCTCGTAATCTTCGTCTGTTATCAGAGCGTCTGATACCTGCACTGACGAGCTCCTGGAGTTTGAATGGATCTGCGGGCGTCCAGGCAGGCGGCGCCCGTCCACAACATCATGGGGCGACTGGTACCTGCGCTGGCAATCTCCTGGTCCTTCGCTGGATCTACGGGCGTCCTGGCAAGTGGCACCCTTCCACATCCTGGGGCGGCTGAATACCTGCTCTGACGAACATCCTGGTCTGCAGGCTTCTGGCGATCTTCCGGTGACATCCTTCCCACAGCATCCTGCAGCAGGGCCCTCTTTCGGTGCCGTGTCAGATATCGGTGGACCAGATTATACACGTAAGGGTCAAGATAGTAAATGACAAAGAAAGGCAACAGAGAAAGGGGGTGTTAAGCGTATGGCCGGTTATTTATATTAATTTGTAGTTTTTAATGTTCGTTTGTTTACGTTAATTTCGTCTTTTTTATTTTGTATTTAATTTCACAAAGTTAAAAAAGAAAATAGAAGAGAAAGACGTCAGTAGCGATCCGCAAGGACCTAGTTTGAACTAACAACCGTCTCTGATAGATAGGAGAGTAGATAAGAGAAACGACAACGGCAATCCGCAAGGATTTACTTTAACCAATTGTCGTAACACAGAGAAGAGATGTATGTATAATATGAGTATGACAAAATCGCGGGCAAAAGAGATTCGCCTTAGATCTTTACGCCTGCAACTACGTCAGCAACAATCCCTATTAATGAAAGGTTTCAGTGTCTTTAATTCTGCGTGGATGAGTGAGTGAGTGAGTGAGTGAGTGAGTGTGTGTGTGTGTGTGTGTGTGTGTGTGTGTGTGTGTGTGTGTGTGTGTGTGTGTGTGTGTGTGTGTGTGTGTGTGTGTGTGTGTGTGTGTGTGTGTGTGTGTGTGCAACAGGGAGCGTAAATGAGAATGAAAGCGAGTGACCTCACACAGAGAGGAAATGTATGCCAAACATGAAGATTAACGTTTATTTTAACAACAATGCGATTAATTGTTCGTCTTTTACGTTTGCTTGGTGTTTCTCTATGATGCTTGAAGGTGAAGAAAACATCGATTAAAACTAAAGTAGGTTCTGACGAAATTAACACGGAACTCTTCATGTTTTCCTCTGCCCCACAAGCCAGGCTCCGTCTGAGAGTGTTACTGCCAGACGTGTGACTACAGAGACGAAATTAAATATTGTACTTTATAAATCGTACAGAGAATCTCACTCTTTCACATAGGTGACATGCTACACAGCAATATAAACTAAACATAACATATGGTATAACATATCACACAAAAGAAGTGTGTTTAAAATAATAACTTAATTATCACTATATACGTACGATAATACTGGCATCACAATCCGTATGCAATGGCATCACAACATGGCACTCACAACTTACTTCATTATCACAACCCCACATTAACTAGCAATGGAATTAATACAAAATTATTTCAACCACCACAATGAATTCAACATCCGTCTGATATGCGACAGAATGTACGCACTAATGAACGGTGACGTGAAAAATATTCGCAAGATTTCTCGCAAGCAAATCTTCTCGGGGTCAGCAAATCTCCCGAGGTAGCTATGTCTAGTGGTGCATGCAGAACCCATCCTGTCTGCGAATCTGTGATGGGCGATGGTGACATGACCTACGGGTATCTATTACGAATCACACGATCGTTTGGGATTTACCCAAGCATGCCAGCGACTTCTAGAAGCGAATGACGATTCTAGCTTAAACCCTAGTCCTACATCATTTAACGAACGGGTCATACCGACTCGAAAGTTGCCGATCGTACGAATAGGTTATACCTGTACCTACTATCGTGACGTCAAAACGTAGATCTATTAGGCGATTGACGCAACACCGGATTATATCAGGCATCCCTGTGCACTCTGATATGGGGAAGATTCTAACGCTATAATAAAAATAATAAATGTACATAAAATCGCGTTACAAGCTCCGTTCCAGCGCCGATAGAACGTGTCACCAAATGAGCAATGCGGCGATGCTACGCTTTCCTACGGGTCAAATAATGTCAAACCACCAAATCAATGGGAACAGCGAGCTGTCTCTCAAGGCATGTCACATATCGATCGACCAGAAATGAGAGAAAGTGAAGTCAGGCCACCCAGCTGCCCAGACGGGTTCCCTGATTAATGACTGTCACTCCGAGGTAGGGTTAAGACGGGAAATGCGCGATAAAATCACAAACGCATTAAATTTGTTGC